CCCCCCCCCCCCCTCCTCTCTTTCCGGGACACAAGGGTAAAATTAATCACTCCTCGGACAATTTTTCCGGTACATTTTTCTTAGGCCGGTAACAGAGAAGAGGGGTGGGACGGGGTGGAAGTGGATGTTATAGTAGGGGGTGCTATCAGTTTTTGCGATTTTTCATCCCGAATGAGAAATGATAGTCGCGTTTCCCTCGTTTCTTCGTTCGGAACGCATGCCTTACGCGCAGAATGATTTTTTGGATTTTGTAAACTTTCATTTGTAGTCTTTCATTCGCTTCGTAAGCATTAATGACTCGATCGATATACGTATTCGCTATTTACACATATGTATTTCTGACATTACATGATTGAAACTGTAAATTCATTTTGAAATTCGTATTTCACTTTTCAAACTTTCCCATCGTTATAGGATCTACGTCATAGTGGTCGCGTATTAAAATTAACTCGGGAAATCTGTCGTCACCTGCCCGTGACTCCCATTGGTCGTCGCTGTCGTCATTCGGTGCGCGAGGATTTGACAGGCTGCGGTGACTTTAGAAATTTAATTATATGAACTAATTTGTTAATCGTTCACGGGATGCTGGATCGAAGCTCCCAATAGGCCTTTGAACAAAACCTAGATAAACAAACCTACCGTTTGTCGTTTCTGTCACTCGCGAATTATGTACGTTCGTTATTAAATCTCCAAATTCTTTGCGTTTGCTCCATCCATTGACACTCGCAGCACGAATTCAACCCATTGGCCGCCTAATAAATGTGACTTAAAGCTACATATATGCATTTACACTGCGTTGATAGGCGCCATCTTCGTGACAGAACAGCAGAGGCACTATAATGACGCAACGTAATAGTAAATAGCGTGCTGGCTGAAACGTTATAATTCGTTACGCAGTATAAGCCCGGGATGGTTGTGGCTGCCACAACGCTCGATTAAACGATGATTTTCGCTACACGCACAGATGACTTACGTTATTTCCGAAGAGTCCTTACAGCCTGCGCGTAACCTCGTGAAAGATTGTTTCTCGGCACAGAGGGTGAATATATATATATATATATATATACATATAAGTATAAATATGTACACACGACATGAATTTCAGAATTTCATCCAATATTACGTCAGAACGTCCATTACAGCGAATTTTGTATTATTTGAAAATTATTTTGCAATTTCGTTAAGTATCCGATATAGTTTTCACGTGTACGTGAGATAAAGTAAATCATCAATCGTCAAAGTGTAACTAACAGATATACAGGGTGTTCCTGTATATATACCCTTACGCACTTTGATCAGACCTTTGCATAAAATAACTAAATTTCCATGACACTGCGACTTTTCTGTAAAGTTACAAGAAGAATTTTTTTTACAAATTATATTATAAAGCGGCGGTCACACTGAACTTTCAAAATTTAACCAATCCCAGCCACTTGGAGCTGTGACGGGTTTGGTGGAGGTTATGTTAGGTTATAATGGATTGAAATGCCAATGCAAAGTTCCCTACCGTTAGTCATTTTTGTTTTAAACCTAATCATAACCTGTTATTAATGTACAAGTTTACACAAGTTGTATACTCGACTTACAGCTACTCTCAATGATATTAATAAGTATTGTTAGAACCCACCGGCTAAATTTGTATACTCGTAATTGCTTAGTTATTCGAAGAAATCCCATTGCCAACAACGGAATTCAAAACTGTTACGTTTAAAAGTTGGTAACACTGAATGGAATCGTTCGAGTATAAATAGTCGTGTTCAATCGGACATTTCTAAGTACATTAATTCCCAAGCGTGACAAACGTCAGAATTCCCATGACAGATTATATTTAGCATACAAATAAAGACGGCAACAATGGCTAGAATAAGTTTCATATTTTCTCACTGCAGTAGGAAACAGTAAAGTACGACTTACCAATCTCTAAGTATTTCTGATGCACGGGATCGTATTGTTCCCACGTGACGCTCCGAAAACGACTTTTCTCACGACTCGCCGGTAGAAAAGCGTCGCTTCTTCCGTGATGCTCCATGGCGTTTGGATTTCTGTAAAACAAAAAAAAAAGACATACAACAGTCACTTACTCGTTTAAACGTCACTCCGTTTACCCCCTACATTTCCAATCCGACCTCACGGACACCGAAACGACGTCCCGGTGTCGCTCGTCATGAAACCCCCCGGTCGCTTTAGCAAAAGAAAAACAAAGTCACGTCAAAACATCGCACGACTCCCACTGCACAAGGACGCCTACAACGAACGACGCTCTCGCGGCAGTCACTTGTTTCGCCATAAATCACGCTTCTTTCTGACCGTTCTTAATCACGTTCCCGGGAACGAGAACGGCTACGCTTAACCGTGGTATTAATTAATACGTCAGAGGCAGCAACGCGAGAGGCTGCTTCAGGCGTTTCCAGTTTGTTAGGCAGAGTCGACTATACCTACATACAGGTAATAATAAAGTCGAAGGTGGTAGAGCGAAAGGTCGTATAAAATATGTTTTTATCGCTACCCTCATATCGTCCGAATTATATTACAAAAAAAAAGTGGTCGCTTTGAAAAAATACCACTCGTTTGGTATACCTATATACATCGCCCTTCCAGTTGTCACTAATAAGTCTTCGTATACGTCTACCCTTCTTAGGCGCTCGTATAATTCCGTATAATACGTAGACTCGTTCTTGCGTACTGGCTAGATGTAAAGTGCGATATTCCAGTCACGCCCTTCGCATAATTCAACATCGACTGATACAGCCGATACAAGTTTCGACATGTTTTGTTGGTTTCTGCCTGTGAAACGTATACTGGCGTAACACGCCCGCGAGCTACTGGCACCGATATTGTGTAGTATGCAACGACCGACGAACCTTCCCTCCCTTTGTCTCCTACGTCCATCACCAACGGCCATGAGGGCTCATTGGTTAGGTTACTTTGGGACGGGCTGCTTTGCAGGAAGTAGCATACAGGCGTACTGTGTTTACAATAGTCGCAGTATACCTACGACATCCTTTGAGCACGTGTCCGACACAGGCGACGGTCTGCACTCGACTGACGAGCATGCTGCTATCCCTTGTACAGATTACTGGTATTACTGATGGTTGACGGTTATTGACAGATTAGACAAGCCAGCCGCAGTATCCACATCGTGGAGAAGAAAGTATTGCGCGACGGGGAAAAGGAGAATGAGATTAGAGAAGATGAAAGAGTGAAAATAAAAAAATGGTGGATAAGACATATATGTGTAAATTGGTATCGATCGATATCAATGACATTGAATTTTGGTATGGAGGGGTCAGTCGAAATTTCTCAATGTTATATCGGCAATTCTGACGCGCACGTAATGAATTTGTTAGGGAAGAATTATGCGTCTGTGTATATGTATATATAGTTATACTGCAAGTTAGACTGTAATTCGTAACAGTTTCTGACGAGACTATACGCGAAGCTGTATACTGTAGCGGTTATGGGATATCGATATCGCGAATGTATTCAGTTGGACTTATGGGTATGACTGTACATAGATTTTGACAGGTTGCTCGATATGTAATATTATCATGATCATCTAGATAAAGTTGGGCACGAGATTAGCTATACTGAGTATAGATATATACGACTGAGTGGATGCGAGATGAAAAGTTGAGAAAAATAATAAAAATTTAAATATAATTTTTTTATTCTTTTGTAAAATTTTACAGTAAAGTCCAGTCTCATTCTTTTGCGAAACGGATGCTGCGACGGCAGGACAAAGCCACATTTACCCAGGTTGCAAAGAAAAATGTAATAACTTTTTGTCACGTTCCCGTCGTCGTCTTCGAAATGCGACGAGACTTAAAATAAAAATACAGTTCAACATTAGCGTTTTATCTCGTGTGAGTATATGGGAAAATTATGAAAACACGAAAAAAAAGTACTTTAACGTGTATCATTTCGTATCTCTCTCTCACTCGCACGCACTCTAGTCCCTCGCTATTCCATATACGATTCCGAAGAGACTTTAGAGAGGAAAAATATAAAAAATGTGTACCCATACCCAACGATACAATCTCGAAGCATATGTGAGACACTAAATTTCACGTACGAAAAATACTGCCAATATTTTTACGATCGAAATAGTATCGGCGTATGTGTACGTAAAGAGGTAAACGAAAAAGTGTACGATGAAAATTCATTAAACCGAAAATTGCGGACCAGCCTTAAAGCTGAGCGAGACCCAAGCAGTCAAGAAACTGAAATTCCCGTCAGTCCTGCACTAATGGCGTAATGAATTATTAAGGATTTCCTTAGGAAACGGCGAGCACCGTCGTCTGGTGAAAGTACCGTAGGACCTTCTCAGACAAACTAAGATCCGCAAGGTATATCCTAACTTTAACGTCCCACTGAAAACCCAAATTCAAGGCGACCGTATGTAATTACTTGTGGATGCGGATGAAGGTAAATCCTGTAAGGTAATCCTGTAAATTCCACTTTTCAGCTTTCAATATACATATATATATATATATATATATATATATATATATATATATATACACTGAGTAAACAATTCAGCGTAAAGAAACATTGATTTTATTGACAGGGGACTATGCCCCTAGCGTTTACAACGTAAAAGAGTCCTCCGTGCGCGGAATGAATTTCACGATCCAAACAAAGGAAGTCACCCAATAAGGGATAATCATATTTCGTAAAATCCTTCATTGTCTTGAAGCACTGAGATTATTTTCTTCCCTTACGAAATTCAAAGCCAATGTCCGTTGTCGATAATCGAGTATTAAAAAGCACCGATATGTATACGTCAACGCGTCTATACATATACGATCTGATAAAATCGTGGTAAACGTATAAACATATCCCTGCGATAATCCATGATTTTAGATGTGCACACAGGTCCTTTGTATTTTCGCGGACAATAGAATTCGGTTCGTCGATACGTGACAGCTGCACACGTGCTAATCCTTAAATCCACTCATATCGTATACTCGAAGAACATACATGGCCTAGACTGCAGTTTCCTGTTCCCATATAGGCTTACATTAGACTGGTGCGTACAGTCCTGGAAACGCGTAGATACTCCGTATAATCACGTGAATAAGGAGGAATAGCTGAGAATAATCTATAACGCGCAGCCATCCTGAGCGAAATCATCCTTCCCCCAACGCGTAAAATTATGACGGATCCTTTGAGTGATTTTTCAACTATAATTTCACGTAAGACCGTAATGTAAGATAGTAAAATGATAAGATAAATTTTTCGGGAAAAATTACAGGCGCGCAGTAGGTAAGGTCAGTACGGAGTCAGACATGCCTAAGGGCCATTGTACTGTGTTGTGATACCCCACTGTCACTATAGATATATTAAGAATGCAATAAATAATTAAACTGAAGGTCGATCGAGTACGTGATAAGCTGATAAGAAATAATAGGGTGACGTAAGAACGTTCGTGTAACCAGCCTCTTTCGCAAGACCACCGACTGTCGTGTCGTCGCCATGTCGTAAAACTTTTTGAACCGTGCTGTACCTTGTATCCGGTTGCTCAGAGATTACCGGGTTGAGTTAGATTGCAAAGCACAATGCGTACAAAGCATGCACGCCCTCTTGTTCCCATAGGTATGGATAATTCGAGGCACGCACAGACGTCGTCATACTCGTCAGGGTAAACACCCTGGGTGCCGCTACGAAGGACGATGAATTTGTTGAGGATTACGTATTCGCCCAAAACCATTTCGACGTCTTCCACGAAGGTATGCGGCCAAATGAGAGCCTCTGTAATGGTTTCAAGGTTGAAGGATTTAGTGCGAAGAGAATATAGGCTTTCCCTATTATGGAGATAGGAGTGTACGTATATATACGTATATAGCGACGGGCTGGCACCTACAAACCGGTTTACCTACACGTACTGTTTATATATACATATATGTATATCCATATGTATATGTATATATTCTCTTATCCATCCTAGCCTCTCTTTGACCTATACGAATATATATGTCTACTACCCTGGTATCATCCTGTTGAGGAACTAGATATAACTATGAGCTTAGTCAGGGATGGCATCAAGGTCTACGGCTTAATGCTGCTGGGGTAGTTAAGAGGGAAGGACACTTTTCCGTGCTGCGGACGGATTACTGGGAAATTGAGCCTCTAACGGATATAACCAGAGACTTGAGAGAGAGTTAAGTATCGGGTGAATTTTTTTTCTTTTGTAATTGCCGATTATCGACAATAGGATATGTATGGGGTTTGATAAGTTTTTTTTTTTTGTGATAGCGATATTTTAATATTACCTTTCGAAAGGAGTTTCTTTTTTCGTAAGGTAAAGGGCGGAAAGACGTTACCGAAGAGAAAAAATTTGTGTCTCCCTAACATTTTGCATAACGTAAAATTGCCTTGTCAAATCGAGGACGACGAGGTACGTGGCTAAATTGTCTCGAGTTATTTGACGGGTAAATCGACGTGTCTCGCACTAGTTTGCGAAATAAAGTAATTTCAACGTGGCGCTGGGTCTCCGTGTCTCGAAATTACAAGTGCTACGTATACCCAGAGGTCGGACAAATGGCCTGCAACTTCTGCACTTTCGTAAGGTGGTGGGAATTCCGCGAGAAATTAAGCTCGAATATGAAGCTTTTTTGCGAGTATCAGCGGGAAATTTTGCAGCGAGAAAGCCAAGAATGTGTTAACGACCTCGGCGAGTTGCTTAAGGGGGAGCAAGTGGCGATGAGGAGACCGTTTGTAATTGTGCTCCTTGTGTATTCTCCGTATACCAATTTTAATTGGCATTTTTAAAAAATCGAAAAAAAAAGTTATTACAAATCGTCGTTTACTGAAAATCGAAAAATGTCAGAAAAATATGCCACTACGAAAATATACCCAAGACCAAAAGCATGTCGTAGCCTGGCACGTTCTTTTGACGAAATTGCCAAATTGTTGTTTGAATGGAAAAACACCAAGGGTTAGGGCGGCGGTAGAATCGATTGAAATTCCAGCAAAGGCCAAGGAGGTACACGAATTTACAAAGCATTGCGCTGCCGGCGTAAAGAGAGAGGAGTTTCCAAAG